GGATCAGTGATGTACATGAAACAGGTTTCACTGGGTTGTATTAGTGATGAGGATGAAACGTGATAGAGATGAAACATGATGTAAGTAAAACATGATGTAGGTGAAACACGATAGATATGAAATACTGATGTAGGTGAAACACATCAAGTGATGGAATCAGTCATACAGTTACAGGGTCAACAACGAATAGTTAGGAGAAAAAAGGAACCCCCTCCCTCACACTGTAACAAGGAGGGTGATGAGGAATGAGCCCAGAAGGGCAAGGAGGAGAATGTGGGGGTGCTTGTTGACGATGGCAAGGGTTGCAGTGTTGAGTGGGGTGATTTGGTTCACCACTGAGTAGATCAGTAAACAGAGTGGGGGTTAGTTCAATAGGGGATGTTACTTGTGTTCTGTTATTGACCCAGTTGAGAGCTTGTTTGGTGATGGGGGCGGTGATGGGAGTGGGGGTGTGTTCAATGTGGAATCTGACAGTGTAAGTCTCCTTGAAGAAGAAGAGTGTGAGGCTGAGGACAAGGATGAGGAGGGCGGTGAGGAACCAGCTGCAAAGGAGTAGAGCGACGAGGATAGTGGTGGATGCCATTGGTGAGACTGAGAGAGTGGTTCTTATAAGAGGTTATCCTTTGTTTGGTTGCAGGAAGTCTGCCAAAGCATCTTTTGCATGTGATAGTTTGGTTTTTGGCAGCCAGGAGTCATCTGAAGCCGGGTATCCTTTCCATCGTACCCAGTACAGTGTTCACTTCCCAACAATCTTTGAATCAATGATACATTCAATTTCAAACTCCTCCTGGTTCTTGATAAGTTCTGGTGGAGGTCAGAGGTAGTTCTTCCATGCATTGTTGTTTCCGAATAAGGATAGAGTAATCCTGTGTGGAACACAGGATGAATCTGCCATTTGGGTGGTAATTTCAGCCAGTAAACTACCAATGACAGTTTCTGATTGATGATGAAGGGTCCATAGTGCTTTGATCTGAGCTTTGCTTTTGAATGAAGGCCTTTGAGGTTGGTTTCTTCCAACCATACCTTCTGTCCAGGTGCATATTTGACAAACTTGTCCTTATTCTGCTTCTTGACTGTTTCTTCTGCTAACCAAATACTGGATTGGATTTCCATGCGAAGGTGTGCTAGCTGGGTGAGTCTAGAAGCAATGTCTGGAACATCTGTTGTTCCCACAGTGGGAATATTATGCCAAGGTTGGTAACCCATAAGTGCCTGGAAGGGAGATGTCTTGATTGCATCATAATATCTGTTGTTGTGCGCAAATTCTGCCAGTGGTAGGTGGTGCGTCCAGTCCATTGCTCGGTGATTGCAAAAGATTCAAAGATACAATTCCAGGTCTTGGTTGACATATTCTGACTGTCCATCAGTTTGGGGATAGAATGCACTAGATGTTCTGTTTGATGCCTAATTTAATGTATAATTCCTTGAACATGCATGATGCAAACTGTGGTCCTCTGTTGGATATAGCTTTGAGCAGTAGTCCAAATCATCAGAAGATGTGGTTCTGATACGGGGTAGCTGTTTTGGATGCTGTAACTGTCTTGTTACAGGGTATGATTACTGAGGCCTTGGTGCAGTCATGATCAGTTACCACTAGACAGCTGTCAAAACCATTGCTCTGAGGAAGATCTGTGATGAAGTCTATAGTGACAGATTGGAATAGAAGCTGATGTTCCATTGTGATGGGTACTGTTATAGTGTGAGAGGGGGGGTTCCTTTCTCATTCCTAAATATTTGTCGTTGACCCTGTACTATACAACTGATCTCATCACTTGATGTGTTTCACCTACATCATTGTTTCATATCTATCATGTTTCACCTATATCTTGTTTCGCTTACATCACAATTCATATCTATCATGTTTCATCTCCATCACTGATACAACCCAGTGAAACCTGTTTCATGTATATCACTGATCCAAACTCAGTGTCTCATACTTATTAAACTCTATTCACTTAGCACTATTTAAGTAGCACTGCTCCCGCTACTGTACTTTAGTTTTGTCCTCTTGTCCTAACATACCTTCATAGCACAGTGTCCCTCATGTAATAGACTCAGTTGTCTATTCAAGTCTCAGTCTCAGTCAAAAGCTCTGCTTTAACCAGTATACACTCTCAAACCACTATCAGCTATAGCGGTTCAGTTTGCAACTCTAGTATCAGTATAGGACTATAGCATGTATTAGTCCTAGTAACAGTTAACCAGTTGAACTCCTGATCCTCAGTTGTTAGGTCCCTTAACAGGTACTAAGTCTGGTGAATTCCTATGTGTGATGACTTTGTTTTCTTGACAAGTTGCACAACCAGTGACGTATTCATTGACATCACAGGCAAGGGTAGGCCACTAATAGGTTCTTTGGAGGATTTCCTGTGTTTTGTATCATCCAGGGTGTCCTGTAGTAGGGGAAGTGTGGGCTTCCTGAATGAGATCCTGTCAAAGTTTGGTGTCCTTGGGTATGTAAACTCTTCCTATGAATACTAATTAGTCATCTTGGATGTCCCAATTAGGGGGAGTACACTTCTCTATGGATGAAGTGTGCTGTATTGCCAGTCGAAGGCCATGATCAGCAATGTTGTCCTTTGTTCTGCAGTTCAAGATGTGTTGTTTGATGTTGTTATTGATGGGTTTGAGGTTCTGAATGGCTTGAATGAAGACTTCTGATGGA